AAAAAGACATATTAAGTAACTCAGCATTTTCTGACTGAATGATCAAAAAGCAAATCAAAACTACCCTCATTCCTTTGTTCATATTCTTTTCACTCCAGAAATTTATAGAGCATAAATTGGAGATCACAAATGACAGTCAAGCTACACTTGGTTTAGACTCTTGAATTGCAGGAATGAAATTGAAAAACAGATTTTATTGCAGAAGAAAACAACACCTTTCCCTGGAACAGTGACGCATCGTATAACCTCTCTGAACAAAGATTGTATACTTTGTACTTCCCCTGAAATCCAAAGAAATATATAAGGCATATCAAATTGCAAAAGCAGCAAGTAAAACGAAGAGTAGAAAAGTTATCTAAAGCTAGCGAACAAGGAGCAGATACAGTGAGATAAGGCAGTTTCAAGTGTTCAATAGTAGTACACCATCCATTTTAGTCGCATGCCTTGAGCACATATCATGGGGATTGAAGTAAAAGTTAGTGAATTAATATGAGGCCCACGTGCTGTTAAAAGCAACAGTCCTGATCAAGGTAACTACATTACCAATGTGTGTATCTTATATTTTTGTTTTGAGTTCAAGGGCGAGGCCAAGCCTTACAAGGGGAAAATGGAAAGGGGAGAAAATGATAGTTGAATCAGGGTCCTCATCGCCACCTAGCTAATGTTCCTACAAGCTGAGCTGGGTCTTAGGGATAACATGCATATCTTATTTAAACCATTGCTAATTCAGGTAATCCAATCAACAAACAAAGCATTGTTCTCCAGATATGTTTTTACTTTTTACGCACGTCATGTCTAATTTAGCTTAAAAACTAAAAATTAATTTTGAAAGAAAAGAGTGGCAATAATATATAAATTTACTTGTTTTAGGAAATTGATTAACTTTTTGAGGTGATGATGGTACCTTAATAGGAAAGTACAGTAACTAAATGGTCCAATCAGATATTTCATGGTAGAAAAGGTATAAAGATTTTGAATACATATTCTGTACAGACATTTTTGGCAGCAAATTGTATATAACTAGTAGTCACCAATTTGAATTCAAAAGTTACCTTGTGATGAGTTTCAAAAAATTTGATCACTTCTTCCATGTGATTCCGATACAAACCCTGCATCATATTTCCAACAAATATAATTAGTAAAACTGAGATGTGTTTGGGAACATTTCATATGCAAATTGTGTTTTTTTTTTTTACCTCAACAAAGCCAAAAAATCCAGAACTCATATCACCAGCTGGAAAACCCATTGCAATGATGTTCTCAGTTATATAAGTCATATCTAAATCAAATCCTCCTTCCTGAAATAAGGCATTGAAAGAATACCAGAGTTACTTGTCTAGATATATGAGTGTGTTACAAAAGGTCCTTGCTTCTCATAAATGAATATAAGAACATAAGTGGGTGGCATATTAAGCAATTGGAGAAATTTGACTGCAATAAACTTCATAATTCATCGAGAGTTTGAAAACCAAGTTGACAAGGTACATGAGCAATATTTCATTCTGTAGCCATCATATCAATTTCAATTGCATAAACGTCTTATGTCCAAAAAAAAGGTTTATACACACTTACTCATCCAGATTTTGGAAATAGTGGCAAAAGTTTGTTAATGTTCAATCGCAGAGAGCAAAGACTAGTCATACAATTCCAGCAAAGAAATAAGAACTTGATCGACCTGGTATCTTCGCTTGTTCTGCGAGACAATGTGACGTGCCTTAACTTGAACAGCCTTAACTGCACTGAAAGATGAATCAACTATTCCTTTAGTGAGCGACTCAAAAACACCTGATTGTGCAGCAGCTGAGCTGTCTCCAGAACTATCATTTGGTTTCAAAGGCAAATTCAGTCCAAATCCACTGGCTAGACGTGAAAATGCAGACTTGGGAGCATTTCCGGCCTGTGAGTTTGGTGTTGCCGGTGCTAAGGGTTGTGGAAGTTTCAGACCTTTGGCCCAAGAAGATATGGCAGATGTCGACAGCATAGAAGATGAGCCACGTGGGGAACTGTCTACTGCAGTAGCAGTCACTACACGAGGTTCGACATCTGAACCCTCACTAGAATGAGGATTTGCTGAATCACCAGAATTAGTATCCATTCTGCAAAAAGGAAAAAAAAAAAAAAGATAACAAGTTTAGATAAGACACAAAAATAAAAGATCATATCGACATCCTCTTCACATGTCCCTTCATTCCACACCTAAAAACACCCAATGCTACTCTCTTCCATTCAGTTGGCATGGAAACAAATTGAAAAATACTAAAGCGTGCTCTTTCAGTTATCTAAATCATATCTCTCCACATCGCTCGTATAGTTAATGCATAGGCGGTATGGCAATGTCAGTCTGCAAATATACACATTTTGTGGCTTGTCTGTGAGGAATCTACCATGCGTTTCACTTATTCAAATAAAATAGCTTTTAGTACCCAAAAAAAAAAAGAAAAGAAAAGAAAAGAAAATCAATGATACAAACACTGTCACATTGTGCAGCCTTACGCGTAGATATGATGCAAAATACTGAAAAGGGAAAACCAGCAATACTAGAGATCACAAGCGATAAAACAGCTTCGAAAAAAGCTACTATTTATATATATTTATTAGCATAGCATGCTACTCGGTTAAAAAGAATTAAAAACGAGATACGAAAATGTAAATGCATTTATAATTGCTTCATTCAATCCAACAAATTTTTTTTTTCAAAATAACAACTAATAAAATGCGTGGATTTCCATCTCGACCTCTAATTCGTCATTTTCAATTTCAGTAGATGAACGACGAGAAATACAATCAATCGCGTACCAAATGCAAGAAATAATAAGAATAAAATAAGCAAACAAATTCACGGACAATTAGTTCTACGTGTGCGACGTGAAGAGTCTATTACGTCTCATAGAAGTCATCAAGATCTAGGTAAGCAAGTATAATTTGACATAGAAATCGCGAAATGCGAAGCAATTAAATGTGGATCAGAATGCGGGGGCCTACTCACAGAGCTAATGAAGATCCAGAAATCCTCCGTTTATTCTCGAACAATGCTGCGATGCTTAAGACTGTATCTCTCCTTCTTCTTCTTTCTAGCCTTTTAGGATTATAGTTTTTTAACTTTTTCTTTTCTTCTTCTTTAGGTGTAGAGGTATCAGCTCCGGCGCTCTTGACGCTTGCAGAATAGTGAGGTCGGAATTAAAATGGAGGTGAGGCCGCGATGGAGGTGGTGGAGCAGCAAAGGTTAATTGTTATTTTTGGAGCTACGATTCGGTGCAGTAGGCTTTACCATACTAACACTAGTAGTTGCCAACTCAGCCACAATTCGCAATTTCTACTGGCACTATCATATAGCAGTGGAACGTTTGCTGCCTTGCTGGTTAATGCATAGCAATCCAGGGCCCCGGTGATCTGGCTCAAACTTTGGATAAGGGGGCCGTTTGGATTGCAATTTTTCTTAGAATAATTACTGTTCTATCATCTTTTTATTTTATATATATCAAATCATTATAATAAATTTTTAATAAAAAATTTAAAAAAATACAATCCAAACGGGGTACAATTGGTCATTTTATTCTTCCTCCTTTTATTATTATTTTTTTTACCAAAGATTTGGTCACTCAACCAACAGCTAAACATAACATACATTATATATACATAGCAAGATTAATTAATCTCACGTATACTGAAAATGTATATACTAATACACTAACGGGGATATGGATAAATTCCTATCAAGAAAAAACAAACAAAAATAAATAATGGCTGCCAAGACATTCAATGACCAAGCTGTCCTTAACAATCTATCCACCTGTGCCTATGGTGCCAATCTACTTTCTTAATCCTGGTTTTCAATCAACAGACATATTTCAAACTGTGAGTAATATGTTAATAATGAGCAATAGTATCCAATCTGCTTTCTTGACTATACTACCAAACCAAAAAAAAAAAAAAGAAACAAATAAAACTACCAGCTTAATAAATAACCATCTAACCCAAAAAATTATTTTAAAATCAATATTAACTTTCTCGTCATAAACCCTGATTACATGACTCATTAATAAAGAAATTCAAATTACGATTAATAAAGAAATTCAAATTACGAAAAAGACCATGAGCATCCCTGCGCAAAGAGTTGACAAAACCAACTAATTGTTCTATATATTTGCTTGGGAAATCACTGATTCATGACATGTTTTAAAATTCATACAGAAGAAAGGGCAGAGAGGTCAATGCACCTCAAATTCATTTTGCGGAGAACGGTAGGGAGTAATGACGGTAAACAGAATCTAAATTGTACAATCAGTAGGTTATTATGTCCTGAGAATTACGTAAAATTACAAACGTGACAAACCTTGTGGTTCAAAACTAACTTCGAATGGATCCCTAATCTATATCCACGCATATGAACTAAAATTTAGAAAGGCCCAGCTACAGCCCATCCAGTATTTTCGTGCAAGAAGTTAAATGGACCTAAGTAACGTATGTTCACAAGAAACCCAAACTGGAGGCCCAGACAACAAAAACAGTGTACGGAATTTGACCCACCCACATCCCAGTCAAGACTTTCCGCTCCAACGCGCCCCACCGAAATAAGCCGAAGTGCACTTTGAACTTTGAAGTCCTGAAGCAAGCATCCAACAGTAAAAGACCTCCCAATTCCCGTGGACGCCGGAACAGCAGCTGCCGCCGTCTCTTGCGAGAAGGCCAGTCGTCCCTGGTTGTTTTCGCGGCGGATATTTGAGGTTTGGCGCGCTTACCAGCACCTACTCGACAAGTGAAATATTGGTTTGACTACTTGCTTATACGTCTGACGGTGATGCTTCTTTTGGTGACATATTGAAATGTAATTGCAAATTCTGTTCATTTGCACAACCGTACAATGCTTTTTGTTGCTAATCTGCTTGGAGCGTGAAGCAGATTGTAAATGAGCAAACTTTGCTTTTGATTACACAGATTTGCCGTTTGGAATGTTAGTAAAATGTTTTCTTGTATGAGTTTGAGGACACCTGGTCTTGCTGTTGGCAATCCAATTGGATTATTCTCCTTTGGTTGTTCCTAGTGACGCTACAATGGCATAGCTAGAATGTAAGTTGCTTAATTTTCAAAAGAACAGGATTAATCTTCACTTTGAACTTGTTACTCTTGCCTACTGCACTTCATTAGTTATCTTCAGGACATACTAACATACAAGAGTAGCTTTCAACCTAATTGACGGTTGAAGTCTTGGAAGACTGTATGGTTCAGGTGTCGTTTTCCACCATCGTGTGCTTGTCCATGAACAAGCAACGGTGCCAGAGTGAATAGGGTTTCCTGATGCTACCCAAAATCCTCCTTCCCTGCTTCAGATTCAATGCCTGCCTATGTAATAGATTCTCCTAGCATTCACATAAAACTGAGGAGGACGAAGGCAAGTATTCTGTGGTGCCTGATGCTTTCTTGACATTAAACTACAGACGACGAAGACAAGTATTCTGTGGTGCTTGATGCTTTCTGCTTGCAATTTATGTCTGATAAATGTGAGCCTGAATTAGGCGAAATCAAGGATGCGAGTGATTGTTGAACTTGAATGTAATAACGAAGCTCCTTTCATAGATAGTAGAATGACTCGCAAATTCCATTAGATTGCAGAGAATGCTCGCTCACTCATTTCCTACCTTAAAATCCAACAATTCACTGTTTCTTGATAGATATGTAATGCGTTCAAGCAATTCTCTCTTGTTGATTATGAATATAAACAGACCATTGTATAGCAGGCTTAAGAATGCGGTTCATAGTAGCCATAAATCCCATAGAACGTCTGCGCAAGAGTTAGCAGCAACAAGACCACAGCAGCAACGAAGGAGATAATTGCCCACGGATTATTGAAATACTTATGACTTAGAGTTGCTCGCCAGGTGTTCCACCTGTGCTCACAATAGCGGTTTACTTGCTGAGACAATGGAGAAAGATAACTGTCGTTTATGTCAAAAACCACCTCTTGGCAAAGACGATTGAAAAGATCAGCAACTTCAGCATCACTGCCAAGCCAGTGCTCGATTATCCCATAATAATGTAGGACGCTTACATCTTCTGGGGAATTGATCAAGTTATCCATGAAGACCACATATGAGGTTATGTAATTGGTGCTGTCAAGATGACATTGCTCAAAAGCGATAAGGTTGAGAAAGAGGGATTTTGTGCCATCGTGGATTAGGAGCCGAGGAATCTTGAGAACTCCATTCTTGAATTTCACATCCCAGAATCTGTCAGTCTTCCTTTTCTTGAAATTAATCCCAGCCTCTCTTAGCTCCGTGACACAATGGAGTAGCTGCTGTCTTCGCTTGTCTGCTACACGGTTGGAATGCGACCACCTTTTTACCCAAATCCTGGGTGTTGGTTGAGGCCCTATTCGAAGAAGACTCCTTCGGAAGACATCAAGGGAGTGAAGACCTCCTAGTTCCGCCAGTGGATCAAAAGCGGAAGTGTGTCCCAACGATGATTCCAATTTGGTCCTGTCACTATTTGTCAATGGTTCGTCCGTCGGGGTCAATGGATCGAAGAATCTCAAAGCTAGCTTAGCCACTATTCCTTTCAGGTCCGGCTGACCCATCTGAAGACCAAATAGCCGATCAAGTACGAATAGAGGAATTTGGTTCTCCAGCATTATCATATCCCGTTGAATGGAATGCATTGAGCCTCGCATTGCAAATATCGGATCATTTCTAGAGTAACCAAGCTGATTGAATCCTTCAGCAGCGCCACGAAAGAGCTCCAGAATAAAACAACAATCAAGAACCATCATCTCCACGAACTCATTGCTTCTGAGGCAAATTGGTCCTTCATAACAAGCACGAGCTCTTTCTTCAAGTTCTTTGATAGCATCAAGATACAGCTTTATATCTTGATTAGTCCGTTTCAGAATATGGTAAACAGCACGCCATTTGTGAGGATCCATATTGCGAAGTCTCTTTTTGTTATGATGATAAGGTCCCAAGGAGACAATCTGGGGCAGATAAGCTTTATCATCGCCTTCTCGCAGGTATTGAGGCACTCTGTAGATGCAGAGCTTTGACCATGTAACTGCGTCATCATCTTGGTTAGCATGATCAAGTTTTTCTCTGATGCTGATCACCCACTCTGGTTCTGGTGATTTGGGACCCTCTTCAACATTACTAGTTCCATCTTTGACCGCAACCTGCAATGAATCCAAGGGTTGATGCCGTTCTTTCTGCACCTGCAGCGGCCGCTGGGCTTGTACTTCTTGTGAGAGTTCAATTGACCGAGTTGCAGTTGTAGGGTTTTGAACCTTTTGAAGTCCAGCTTCAACAGTTTCGTTGAGTTTGAGGGTGATGAGGTACCAACTCAAGAGCTCTTTGTTGAACACAGCCACCATTGTCGGAGAGAGAAAAGGAAAAGGTATGTGATATTTCTCCAGGTTTTCGTCAAGTAGATTGTTCTCCGTTAACCATTAAAAGCTTTATCAAAAAAGTCGGTACGCTTTCTTGGAGGAATCTCTAAAATCAGCATGCTGGCCATGGAACAATGAAAAAGTTGGTGACTTCTAATAATTCTTTGACGTTGAAGTTGAGCCAATCCAACTCCAACTTTCACGCCAGTCATTTGTAATAAAACTCCCCTTCCTTTTGCTTTTCGGTGTTCTATGACTTCTATCATGATGAAATGTACAGGACAACTTGTTTTGTAGTACTGTGTATTACAGCATATGGGTAAAAAGAAGCAAGGCAATAATATTTAACCTAACAAGGAATTCAACCTTCAACGCATGGCATATAATCTGGATATAATATGGGATGGTTATGTGACTTTCTGTGATATATATATATATATATATATATATATTATAGTATGAGATGGTTATGTGACTTTCTGTGGTATATACATATATATTCTAATACTGTATCAATTTTTACTTAATCTAATGCTTTTACTCGAGAGAGATGAGTTGGATGGTTCAAGAAGAAGGAGGAGTATAAGTAAGAAATTTTGGATTCAAGTCCTCCCACTTATATCTTAATTGAAAAAAACACACTAGTGTCTTTATTAGTGTATTGCATTGCTAAAATCTTAGTGCAAATGTCTTTACCGCCATTGTCAAGAATTAGACAAAATATAGGAAGGAGAAGAAGATGCATTTAACACCAAGGCCGTAGATAGGTCACAGCATTGAAGAAAATAATAAGTGAATAATCAGAGACGACACAGCATGTGAATCATCCATCGTATTCTGGACTATTATTCTGTGTGTATTTTAGCCCTACCTAATTTTCTTTTTTCAGTGAAAATTAAACATGGGGAATGAATTGAGGTGGGTTGAAAGTGCAAAATATTTGCTGTTAATTCATGTCTGCTGGAGAGAGCAAAATATGAGGTGACATGACACCAGCTGGACATGGAAAATATATGCACGGTGGTCCACCCTACCTACTAATTCAGTCTAATTGTTGAAGCTGTAGAAGCTAGTCGTGCACGCTTCATCCCTACAACTAAAGCATGAAAGCCCCACAAGCAAATTGGATGCATTCTTCTTAATTAGTTACTGCGCCACCGCGATTTAAAACATCTTCCAGTTGCTTCTCAGAAATAAGGAGTTTAAAAAGCTCATACCTCCGCTGAAAGAATAGAATAAAGAGAGAACCAAAAAAGCTCTAGTATTAAGATTGTCAAAAATTGTTTCATGATTTGAAATGAAGTTGAATTGTTGATCGCCATCGCCGCGTTTGAGTAACTAATGGGGAGTAACACAAGCAAGAAGGGAGATAGCTTTAAGCGTCCGCTCAAAGCAATGCGAAGCTAACACGCTAACGTCAGGTTGCTTCCCAGTTCAGTTCACACGCTCATTGTCCAAATCAATATCCCTCACAAACCTTTCCTCATTATCTAGCTAGATATAAACCAAGATAGAAAAGGGTGATAGAAATTAATGTTGGTAATCCAACAAGGCATTTCAAGACGCTGGCTGGACAGACGATATTTGCAGGCTTGCAGCTTGTGCTTTTTTGTTTCTTCAGTTGGGTGAGAGCAGTAAAAAGAAGATGATTGAATGCTGCTTCTTCCCCCCTTCGGCATTTTGTTCCATATTCTCTTCTCGACTTGCTTGCATTTCCACCATCTTTAGTCGGGTATGGAAACTGCATTGTAATTCCACACTTGCTCGTGTAGCTCCCAATCAATCACATTGCGCACCAGCCTAAAGTATCCGTCTTTCTCCCCACATGAGTTCCTCACCACGCAATGATCCTTACCATTTTCTGACCCGTACCCGACCAATGGTTTAATGCATGCGCCAGTAAATATGCCCTGTGAAAATTTTACCAAGTTAGAGTTAGATGCAGTGAGAGATCAGTACACCTGAATGCTCATCCAACTTTTGGCAACAAATACTTTTACACTGATTGACGACATAAATTCAGTTAGTATCCCATTTGATTATTCGATAGATCAAATATTTGCTCCACCAAAAATGTTTAGCAAGAAGATTCATAAACCCTTCATTCATTTTACTACATATATACCTCATTTCTACCGCAACAAAAGGAAGGGTGTAGCTGCTAACTGACACGTAAAGTTGGAATGCTCTGCCAGAAGCTTCAATTGCAACACTAACAGGTTGGTGTGCCATTGCCTTTTGCAGCGCTTTCTCACTGTAAGGTGGTACATCTTCATACCCATCTATGCGTACAACTCTGGCATTCTTCTGCAACAATTCGACATATAACAATGATATATTAAGCACAAAAGAAAAATGTGTTTTAAATTTCAAAGATGCATAAATGAACAAAAGGGGGCCGGGGGGGGGGGGGTAAATGAAACGTTACGAACACGAGAGGGGTCACAAATCCCGTTAAGTCCCTCGTATGGGTAGTCATCTTCACCATTGGCGATAAAGAAATCGAAGGCATGGTCCCTAATGCTCCATTGCAGCAGAGGTTATAGGTTCTTGTTCCACTGCAGCTATGGTCGACTCGAGAAGGCCCAGCAGCTTCCTGTTTAACAACACAAGCAAGGCCAGTTAATGCTAATTTCTCTCATACGTCCAATGGGCCATTTGTCCTTCGTCATTTCACTCTCGGAACACCTTATGCCCACTGATTCCGTACTAATTCAAAACCTACCGGTGCATCCATCAAGCATCAGTGGGCCAAAATCAACTTTATCCATACAATTTTTTTTTTGTTTGGAATCGACTTTCTTTATTTCTGGTAATTATCATAAATTGAAAGGGAAAGAAGAATAAACATATGCTGCATCAATCCTTTGGTGAGAAAGCCATTAAAAATGCTTTCCGTCCAAGATCATGTACTCTTTTTCTTTTCATTTATCCTTTGGTGAGAAAACCATTACCAACCTTCTTGAATTATTGATTAGTCTTAACTGCATGGGACGCGAGTGGGTACATCTTAACGAATCATATGTCACCATGTTTTAATGGGTTTGGCCATGATCACCATCTTGACGGATCAGGGTGTGTTATGGGGATTTTTTTTGTTAAAAAGTGACTCATCATTGTCAACTGAATCAACTTGTACGAGGAGCCTTTCTTTATTACTAATTAACGTATGGCCATTACTTGGATTAATAAACAACAACATGCAACAGGGCCAGCTGCCAAAGATTTCTTGGGAAGTGGCTTGATTGATCTCTAGATGTTAGTGCCATGTTACCTGCGTTGCAGGTCACCTGCAGGCAGCACTGATTTTCTTTTTCTTTTTTTTTTTTTTGATGGCCGCCGAGACTTTACCTGGTTTCATTTGAATCGGTCGCCCATTTTTAGCACAAATTTTACTGATATTGCATTATGTGGTTATTTAATTAAGCACAATGTAGAGGGAGAAATCCTCTGTGAACACGTGTCAGAAGCTTTGTTCGGACTCCACTCCAAGCCCGAACTAAGCGGAGCTGGCTGTCGTAGTTGGAAACGGTCAAGTTTTCGGGATAAGACTAAAGTCATAATTCAAAAAAGGACTCTACTTCTAATAACCTAATAGGACTTATACTCGTAGATGAGATAACTACTAAGAGTAAACGGATAACTTTGGACTCCCCCATGATTATTCAGGGGAGGCTTTATAAATAGTGGACGGACAGATTAGAAAGAGATACAAAAAATACAATACATTCACTCTCCTCTTTTCTATTATTTTCAAGCTAACTTGAGGTCTATTCCATTATTCTCAAGCAAACTTGAGCGTCGGAGTTACAATTCCATTATTCTCAAACTGACTTGAATGTCGGAGTTACAACGAGGAGATAGTCTCAATGTTCGCCACATTGCAGGTTAGTTCAATTGCTTTTATTCGGATCATGCTCTTGACAGATTCTTCACACAATTATCTTATAAATACAGCAAGAGAATCTCGAATTGTGACACCATCATAAACGTTTTTTTTCCCCGGGGGAGGGGGATGGAGGGGTTGAACTGGCTTTTAAATTGTAAAAATGCATTAGGTTTACCTCCATAATCAATCCAAGAGATTCAAATTTAATTTGCATGCGACATGCATACATACCCGGACTGATGCTAGTAGTGCAACAAAATTTGTTGTGGCAAGAGTAATTCAATTATGTTATCACTGGAAACAACGGCCAAATGCTAAGAGCAAAAAGGGGATCTTGAGCAAATTGATCAATTGTTGCAGTTAGACACTAAGGTTTGTTTTATTTTCACATGGCTACTTCAGCAGTGGAACGGAAAAATTTTGAATCTGGAGAATAGTTCATCATCAACCAGTGGCAGATGACTACGATCTGAATCAAGAAGGCCGAAGTGCATACCTCCGTGGGACTGCTAACTCTTAAGACTTTCCATTTTTTTTCCGGGGACATGTCACTCTAGCATATATGGGGAAAAAGATGAAGATGGAGACTTAAATAATTTCTTTGATGGCTGACCAGGTCAGGTGGCTCTGAGTTCATTCACAGATCATGCTATTGGTCTCAAAGCATTACAAGCAAAAACCGTAACTGGTTTTGCCAAGGGGAAACTAATACAAAATCTATGAGAACTTCTATTCGAAGAATTCCTTAAGAACTAGTATAACGTTGAGTACAAGCTTTCTGCCAACCATGCAACAGAACAGGGTGGCATATCACCGTCACTAGATTCACGGTATTAATCACCAGGGAAAAAAAAAAGAAATTGGAAGAAATCGCAAATTGAAAAGAATCTCAAAATTAGAAAAAGAAAATGTTTGTATAAACAGTGCAGTGCGACAGATGCCATCTTGTATTTACTCCATGAGACATCGTCTCTGTATCCAACCTTTTGATCTTTGAGCCCTCTTTGCTCTGCAGAATTCACACAATGGTATGTATATTAGATTTTTAAGGCCGGTATTAAGACATCCTAGTTCTCTCCAGCATGCCTTGTAGAAACACGCTCGTCTATGGTTCTAATTGCGTGCTTCCGTTTGCTTCTTCGTTTTCGGGGTGAGTGGGTTTTTGTTGCTTGCTTCTCTGCAATCTCTTGGAGAACAACCGCCTTTTCACCCGCTGGGAGTGGGAGTTCAGGAGGAGCATCTGGCCACGGTGTGCGTTTTGCTGGGACCGTAACGTCCAAGGGAGGGTTAATCACCCATCTGAATCCAAAAATCAGGACTAGTCAGAATATGTTGGAAAGATATGAACAGACTTCATGGATGTGTCCTGGAGAAAGTGACTCAGTGGCCATTCCATAAACTAGTAGACATGTTCAATGCAATCAAAAACAGATTAGGTCCCATGTTCATTATCAAACAGTCTGGAGCAGCAGCTAGGAAAATTTTTAATACTAAGATGGTGTGTGCGTGCGCATGCAAGAGATAGAGTGAGAGATGAATAAGCCTTTATGATCCATTATTAGAAGGGTTGAGAAACAAAAGATTCTACAAAGGCCTCATATCACGAGCAAGGCCAACCCTCCTGCCAACGTGTTAGAAAGACTTCCACCAGAGGAGAGAGTGGAAGGATTGACCTCACAAACAAAGCAAGAAATTTCTGTTGTAATAGTGAGATAACCAAGGTGTGTGTTCATCTCTCTCTACTTCTCCCTCCCAAACAGCAAAAGAACTATAGAAGTCATTAGCTAGGTCCAGGATTCCAATCCTTCTCTTTACATTCCCCTGCTTCCTTAAGTAGACAGTCCCCAGAGGACCACAAATTAAGCATATGTACACCATAACTTAAAAAGTGTGCTCCTATAGGATGTATAACTGCTAAAAATAATGTTAAGATAAAAGAGAATGGAAAATAAAAATAAAAAGCTAAACAAGTGTCCCAAGGAACAGAAAACAATAAACTACTATACAACGACATTCAAAAAGAATGAAATCTTTTAATCCAAGATAAGTTATCAGAAGGATAACCAAAATGCCAATATTCAGCCAGAAATGTTCCGTTTGAGATATGACGACTTTTCTGCCTCCTAAGAAGTTATAGCAAATTTTTCCTTTAATCTCAGAAACGTGTACAATACATTGGAATAGATGCAGTTTTCCACATGTATGCCAACTAAACCTTCAACCTCTTTCTATTTGATTTACTCATTTTGTCTCTCCCTATGATTTGTAAGTTCTAATCTTATGAAGTAAGCCTAGAAATGATGGTAAGGATGTCCATGCAATGACCTGAGAATGGACTCTTGTATTCAAGGGCATAGATTTTACATGCACAACCCTCCTTCGACTCCACAGTTTGGTGAACCTCTTGCATTTGGCCTATTCTCTATATTCAAAAATTTACCTTTTCTGAAATCCCTTTTCTAATTTAAAGACAAGTACCAAATGTACTACAAATACGTGAGCTGAGTTCTACCACCTACAAATCAGGAAGAGGAAAAATATAAGAACGTTTATATGATCTTAAATACGAATTTTTTTTATTAAAATATTCTTGCAAAGTTCTGCTTTATATGTGTAAAAGTTTGGTGGATGCTTGCAGTCATTCTTCTCCTTCAGCTCGATACAAGCAAATCAATCCTTTAGGCCATAAAAAAACAAAACAAAACTAGGAAGGAGACTGGTGCTCTCAGGAGAGCTGTACTTAAGACAGCTTTGCTGTAAGTTTTTCTATTCATTTGAGATAAGAGTGGCTTGACAACTAAAACTGCAGCCAGTTATCAGTTTTTATTTGTAGACCTGATCAATGAGCGTTATGGTAAGTTCAGCTGAGGAAACTAATCAGACAGCACCAATCATTATTTATTTGAAGTATAATTAGTACATAATGGACATGAAGATGATGAATCCTAAAAGAAATTAAAAAAAATAAATAAAGAGGATGATGAATCCAATAGACATGAAGGTGATGGAATGGTGAGGTTAGCATGAGCTTAGTGGGTCTTAATAGAACATAGTTCAAAATAACAGTATTGTAATATTCAGAAAGAGAGGGGTATGCTATCCAGAAAGAGAAATGAGGAAACTAAGATGGGCCAATGAAGCAATCAATAGCAACTAGAATTGCCCCAAACAGCTGGAGAAAGGAGGAAGAAGGAGATGACAGGTTCAACATAAGTATAAGCCCAGGTGCGCACATGTGAGAGAAAGAGAGAGAGAGAGCGAGCGCCTGCGTATGAGGCTGACATCAGGGAGTAGTAAAAGAAAAGTTTGCAAGTTCTTGAGAGAGCTACTAGATAAATTTTCAGAAAGGAAATGTCCAGTTGAATATATTGGAAACCAGCAATAAATATTATCAATTCCATACATGATGCTCCTAGACAGGGATGGATAACAAATACACGAAAAGAAAAACAAGAGCTGTTTCATTTAATATTTTTTCATCGACTCTCATCAGGATAAGTTTAAAGAACTGCTGGTTCAGGTACTATCTTTATCTGTCTCTTCTGCTTTTGTTTAGAAAAGAGACAACTAAACAGAAAAAGGCATAAATTACTTGGAGTCATTTCATCGCTATTTGGAATAAAAACTCCTTGTCCTTGAGGAACCAACCACTGTTTTCACAGTTCATGTGAGAGCTACTAGATAAACTGTGGATATGATGTCACAGTATCCTATCTCATCATTTCTCAGCACTAATAATCATACAATAACCACAGGAGATTCCTTAAGCTGATTCAACCTTTATGAAATGAGTAAACAACTCTCAATCAACAATGAATTCGTAGTGACGATCAAACAAATATAAGCACAAAGCTGAGAGATATGGACACCACATGAATAATGTAAGAGAATAGTCTGTGAAAGTGTTTTAATAAAAATGACGATTGTAGACTAACCCGGCAGGGAATTTGCTGTCTGCCCGTGCTTCAACTCGAAGCCACCAGATCATGACTTTACGCCCACAACTCCCAAGAGGCTCCACCACAGAAGCATCCTTAACAAAGGACAGCGGACTCTCAACATCTTCTTCATCTGCAGCTACCTCGTCCAGATCCCTCACCCATTCTGGCTTATCTTCTGCATCCCTCCAGACTAATCTAGAATTCAATACAAACCCAGCCCACTCCATCTTCCTGGGCAGCACAATTGCCCTATCACCAACATACCTCGCACTCCTCTCCATAAACGTAGCCGAATTGAAAGTCTGCCAACCCACCAAATGATTCGACGAATTGCAAGCTGGACCCTGAACTGGCAATCCTGAATTTTTTTCCTCTTCCTTCTGTGCCACTGCCGTTTCATCCTCACCATCACCACCCGAATGAGCAAGGATTCCAACAGAAACAGCCCCAAACTGATTCACATTTTGGATCTCATCAAAAAGTTCCATACTATGCATATTACTATCATCAGCAAATATCACTATTCCATCTAGTTTCTTCTCTCTCACCAATCTGTTAAGTGTGAAAAACACTTAGAGTGCATCAAATTCAATACTAGTATGCATTTAACACAAAATTCAACAAAAACCGAAACCAAAACCAAACGTCAAAAACTCTGTATACCTCAAAGCATGTAGGCGCATCTTCGCCTCCAATTTGTGCCGATCCTCCCAAAGAATCGGCATTTTCTTGCCGTATTCAACATGGATAGTTGTAAGGCCAGACTTAGCAAGCAGCGAAGCAGTCTCATTGGTGACCGCACCGGCCTCGACAACGATCCAGACGAGATCATAGGGCACGTTCATCAAGGAATGCATCACTCCAGTAAGATGCAGCGTCTGGAAAGTCCGAACGTAAGTTGGAGTGATAGCAATCACAGCCCTAGGGTTCTTAACCCCGTATTGCATCCTCTGCTCCCTTTGCACCCTCTCAATTAACCGGTGCGCCATCATCACCTCCGCCGGATTCGGATGCGGCCACGGCCTAATCAATATCCCGTGTCGCCCAACCACCACCCGACTACTACTCGTCCCTGAAGCCGCCGTCGTCGTGAAATTCATAGCCGGAAGCGAAGTGGAAGTAGAAGTAACAGCTCCTAAAGTAGACTGGAAAGCTAGGGGTTCAGACGGGTTACCGAACGAGGACGTGGAGTACAAATTAGTACTAGTCATGGTATTGGAAGTATTGGAAAAGAGAAGGAAGAAAACTAAACGAGAAAATCTGAAGCCCAAAACAAGACTAATTAAACAGCAAAGACCATGAAGAACCAGCCAGAAAATCGTAACTGGAGATTTGATTGCCCCATCCATTGACGAATCTAAAGGCGAGGATCCTCTGAAGCTATTGCTCCGGCGACTCTGCTGCTGCAACGCCGTTAACTTCATTTCTTGTTTGCCGTTAAGTTCCTCCCTCCCTTTTCCTTCTACAGAGAGAGAGAGAGAGACAAGAAACGGAGAAATGGGTTTGTTAGTTTGAGCTCAAGTTTGAGTAGGTGGTGATAAGTTGGGGGTTTGATAGGGGGACAGACTGGTGAGTGCGGTTGAAGGAAAAGGATGGGGTGGGAGTTGGGTGGGAGATATCTTCGAGTTAAAGAATGAATTCAAAAGAATTGAATGGGTTGCTTAGTTTGGTAGTATTGTTTCCTTTTTCCTGGTTAACAATTTCGGGCTTGAAACGGAAATGGGATGAGCGGAAAAGGGAAGAAGGGAGGGACGGAGACGGAAGAGATTAGCTGTAAATTCTTCGGACATGGAAGCAAAAGCTGGAGCAAATCTAGGGGTCTTTCACTATTGTAATTGATGGGGGTAATTCGGGGATTATGATTGGCTTCTGTGGGTTAATTTTCCTTCCCCACCCTTCCGGCTGTTTGTTTAAT